AATGTTCTAGAGAATAAAGGAATGACAATAGTATAAATTTGCTTTACAGATAAACAGTAACTGTTCTTACCTTCAATTTTTTTGGTGAAAGGACGTTGCTGTAACAAAAACATGGATGTTAAATAATGCTTTCAAAAACTGATAAATATTTTTTCATGGACACCTCTGTTTTAAGAAGCAAACAGACCTTTTATTTATTCAGTTTGAAAGATTACTTATTAAAAATACATTAATTGAAAAATTGGTGTATAAAACCAGTAAAATTCTTGGTATGTGCAGGGAGTGTTCCTGTTGGTTGCACTGAGGTCAGGATTTTATTGCATGGGAATTTATAGTTCTGTATCACAACATATAAAATACTATGGCTAGCTATCATGTTCCTGTCTCCTTTGCCAATTTTTATTGCTACTTTTGACCTTTTTTCAACCTTTCTGGCTTTATTTGTGTGACACCTGTACTGTATCTGACCCCTGTGTCTATACCATCTCCATGCCCATATCTCTGCCTAACTCACTAAATTGTAGAGCCCTTTTCACTCTGATAGCCTTAATGTTCTTAACCCATCGCCATCTCCTGTGTTGACTCCTGATGTCACAAGGTTCACCTGAAGGGCAGCCAAGTAAAATTTCCTTGAAGCAAACGTCTGCATCCCAGTATTTTCATTGGGGGGTAGTAATCGGTACCACTACAAAGGTCATGCATCTTATCCCCCCTTCCTGCCTTGGGGACAGGAGGGGACAGGATAGATGAGCCATTTTTAACTTGGGTGCTTGGTATGTTAGAATAGTGTGCTCTTGCCATAGATCTTCAAACATTGAAAACAGATAAGTTAAAATACATATTGAACAACCTTGAAGGCTCCTAATACGTGTTTTTTACTTACAGTGTCTGTGGTGGAGAATAAAACCAGAAAATGTTCTCAAGAGGAGATTGAAAGAAAAAAGCAAGAAGCTCTTGCACGAAGAAAATCCAGAATGCAGGCATACGTTAAAGATGCCTGAATTTGGAGTTTGTCTATTGAGTAAGTTCTGGGGAGGGAAATACTGTAATGCTGGAAGACACTTTTTAAATCCTGTTCACAGCTACCGACAGCAAGCTTTTCCTGTTTCTCAATTTAAAACAATCTTGACCTGCACTAATACTCTGGTGGTATTAACTCTTAATTAAAAACTATCAGTTGTAAACGTGTAGTTCCAAACTACCTTCAGCACAGTGAAGATTGTGCTGAGTTCACGTACTGTTGTGTATTGAAATTGTATAGTCTGAAAATCACCAGAGCATGAAAGCATTTGTATACACACCTAAATACATGTTGAAAACAGACTGTATGTGTTTCGGCTGTATTTCTCTTATTGCAAGTATTTTAATTTCTAAGACTCTCAAGTACACTCAGACTAAGAAAACATTTGTTCTCAGGTAGAAGAAAGTTTTTAAGTTCTTGTTTAAAGAAAGTACAATCTAGAAAACATCCAGTATTGGAAACCTAATGGAAATGAACAGGATTTGGAAAGTGTGCTCAGTTTGTCTTCGCTACCTTAGGTAAGAATTGTACATAGCAAAGGAAAATTTTAATATAAAGGTTTCATAATGTGAAAAAAGCATCCTGAAAATTATGTTTAATTTTTATTTTTTTTTTTTTCATTTTTTAAATTCCCTTCATGAAGAGTTAGGAATACTCCAGCTGACAAAATTGGATCACCTCTGTCTAAATGTGAGTTACCCAGCTAACTAAAAAAGGTAGCCTATGTCATTTTACCAAACCTTGCGCAATATATAATACATCAGATGAAATCTCAACAGCTATGAATCAGTTTAGCCTTATGGGTTGTACATATTTTTCTAACTAAAGGCTGTTAAAACATAAAAATGCAATGTCATGTCAGCTTAACAGGGGCTGATAGAATTTTTTATGTGATAGATGGGTGCAGAGCTCAAACTGCAAAAACTGCCTGTGGGTAAGCTGCAAGATATTTTTCAACTGAGAAATGCTTATATGTAAACATATGACACTGAAAAGTGACTGTAATTTTTCTTTGTAAATAAATAACTTTGAAATGTACCAAAGGTTAGAGGAAGCTTTTGGTTTCTGTAGTATGTGCCATTTTTGTAACTGCTAAAAATGTAAGTACTGTATATTTGTAAAGCATCATTAAAAGTTTTTTACATTTTTCTAGTCTGTTCTGGAAAATACTGTACTACAGAAGCTGGTAAAAGGGAGTGATACGGGAATTCTGTATGGTCTTTACCTGAACATCTTTTCTTGGTGATTTACCCAGTTATTCCATGCCTCAGTTTTCTACCTGTTGTGGTGACAAAGTGCTTCCTTTAATCCATTTAAACTAGAAATCCTTGTTGGAGGAACTGGTTCTACACACAACCAGGTGCAGTAGAGTCACGAAATACTCAGCTATACTGGTTTTCAAACTAATTAACTTGCTTTTGTATTAACCACCATTCTTGGTGTTAGTTGGTTGATTATGAAGTCAAATTCCCAAGTCCACTGAAAAGGGTGATGGTGTCCAATAAACATTGCTTACAGTCTGTTACTGCAGCTCCCTGTCCTTCAGCCGTGCAATACACAATGAGTTGGATCAGCTTATTGATCTGACTGAAACTTAACCCCCAAAAAATGTTTTCAGCTTTTCAAAGCACTTCATTATAGAATCATAGAATGATTTGGGTTGGAAAGGACCTTAAGATCACCCGGTTCCATCCCCCTGCCATGGGCAGGGACACCTTCCACTAGACCAGGTTGCTCAAGGCTCCTCCCAGCCTGGCCTTAAACACTGCCAGGGATGGGGCAGCCACAGCTTCTCTGGGCACCCTGTGCCTGGGCCTCACCACCCTCATAGTGCAGAAGTTCTTCCCCATATCCAACCTGAACTTCCCCTGTTTCAGTTTAAACCCATTACCCCTTGTCCTATTGCTAAAATCCCTGATGAAGAGTCCTCTTTGGCATTCTTGTAGGCCCCCTTCAGGTACTGGAAGGCTGCTATGAGGTCTCCACGCAGCCTTCTCTTCTCCAGGCTGAACAGCCCCAACTTCCTCAGCCTGTCTTCATACAGGAGGTGCTCCAGTCCCCTGATCATCCTCGTGGCCTCCTCTGGACTTGTTCCAACAGTTCCATGTCCTTTTGATGTTGAGGACACCAGAACAGTTCACAATACTCCAAGTGGGGTCTCACAAGAGCAGAGTAGGGGGGGGCAGAATCAGCTCCTTCAGCCTGCTGATCACACTTCCTTTGATGATAATATAACATGAAATAGCAAGACTCCATGTTGTCTTGTCAAGCCTCTGGTGGCAGTGTTCAGGTAGTTTATAAAACAGAAGATCTGCATGTCCAGGTGACAAATAAATGTGTGGCTGTTGTGAAAATTTTATCCTGAATGTAGTTTGATCTGTGCATGTGAGTGATCTGCTTGTATTCGTGGTGTTCAAGGAAAATCGAAACTGTAACTTGCCAGATGCAATATTAGCCAAGAAAGTGGCAATGAAATAAAAGGCTTCTACTATCAGTATGAAACATGAGAGTTATAAACCTGGCTTTTAAGGTACTGATACATAAGAATGTCAAATCTTATCGAGAAAGATAAAAATTAAGCTTTTGCTAGGACAGTGTTTAGCTTATCACCCTTCCCTCCCTAGGGTTTTTCTCTAGAAATAATTTGTAAAGGAACCAGGATAATTTTTGTTTTCAAGGATAACATGGTTAATTATACTCCTGATTTGAGAAGATGAGCTAACTGGAAAGGAGGGACCTACTGTGGGTGCTGGAGAGTATTTTTTTTAGGAAGGTTTCATTCTCTGATGCTAAAGGACTAACTGTTACTCAGGTTTGAAACTGGGATAAATAGTAGATACATAACATGAAATAGAGGCTAAGCATGTTATGGCTACCAAAGGTCAGCATGCAAAGTGACAGTGCCTGACTGCTTGCTGCTGTGTGTCCTTATCACACACAAAGTTTAAAACCAGCTTACTCCTCTTCCAGGTGATGCTGATTTTCTGAGCACCCAGGATAGAAAGGCCTTGGAGGTTTGGAGCTTCTCAACTAAAATGCTACCACTGCTCTCCCTGTGAAAGCAGGGTAAGAATATATACTGGCTCATCTTTTAACACAAGCCTCTAACCATCCTTATATCCTGACTTTAAAAGAAGATTTTAATATATGACAAGGAGAATTCTGTTGCCATGAGAGGTGTGGAAAGGACTCTTTGCAAACTTCCCAGGTGGAGGAAGACACAAACTACTTTCTGCCCAATTACTGTCACTTGTTTACTTATGTAGCCAAGTACTTCCGACGTGCTGCTTAACCATATCTAAAGAACCTGTTTGCTGATCAGTGTGAAATACAGTGTACAGCAAATGCATGCTTTGCCCTCTACCATTACACTGATTGTAACAGAAGGGCTTTATTTTTTATTTTACTTTTCATAAATACCTATTTTTAGCATAGATATTATGCTTCAAGGCCTATAATTTTTTTTTTTCTTAAATGTTACCTTCCAAATAAAAATCCCAAGTTCTTGGGATCATGGTTTCATAACTGATGTCCAGACAAACAAGATTTTTTTGGTCACATGCTGACCATCCCCAAACGTCCTACCATCCCATTTCTCAGTTAACAAACTGAATAGAGTTACTTCTTTTTGTGACTCAGTGCTTTTCGAAACAGAGAAATAATGTAATGCATTAAAATTAAACCATTACTATACTATTTTATTAGGCAAATTTGATAAAAGTGAGAAGCTTGGAGAAATACTTTAACCCATACAGTTTCATTGTTAGAGTCAGTGCAGACAGAAGGTTCATTAGTGCTTAGAAATAGTTACAAAGAAGAACCTGTGCAATATCAAAATAAAATCCCATAAGGTAGGAATTTTTGCCTTTAGAAAGATACGTATTCATAGTAATTGGCCAGAAACATCAAAAGATTTAGTAGAAATCTAGTGAAAAACAATGTCTTAAAAGAGTACATGGCACAGAACTTGTTCGTTTAGAGTGCCTGTGCTGTAACTGCTAGTCTTGCCCTTCACCTCTTCCTGCTATGCTGGCATCAGCAGGGTGCTGGACATGGACCCAGCCCAGCACACAGGGCAGCATACTGCTGTTGACAGCATTGCAAACATGAGGAGTTTAACCTCTGCCTAATTCTGGAACATCTGGATATTAAAGCCAGCAATGCAGCAGGGGTGTAAGTAGAGCTAGCTTGGTGCCTCCTAACCTGAGAGGCACAGGTTAGACCTAGAGTCATTTCAGGGGCTCTTATGGCAGTCAGTGATGCCGAGAGGACAATTCAGATGATAGGTGCCTGAGCTACATTTCATATGTGCTCAGCTTTACATCAGCAAAAGCAGCCATCTATCTAACAGGTATTTCAAGGACGTGGTACTGGGCCTAGACAGCCACTCTGCTGTACCTGGGCAGCCAACAGCTTCGGAGAACAGATGAGAACTACAAAAGCACCTGCTCCTTGCTCTCATTACATTCCCTGTTCCTCACCACTGTGGAAGGAAGCTAAGTGGCAGCCTCATGACCCCACAGATTTTACAGGTTGGGCTCTGTGTCCCTCATGCTTCCTGGTAAGTCCTTGGTGCTCCACTGATACTGCATGTTCCTCGATCATGCAGTCTTTTGTCTGACTGCTTGCCACAGACAACAGATCTCCATTAGGAAAGTAGCTACATTATTTTAATTAATTAAAACACATGTACGCATAAGAAGTTTTGTATTTCAATAGCTGACATTTCACTAAGAAGCCACATCTTCCTCCAGGCAGAACAGACCTATACGAATAGTAACAACAATCTTAAATACATTCTAAATTAAATTATGACTGTCATGTTTCATTATAAATTAATTTATGACTGTTTGCTTAAGCACTCATTTTCATTTCATTCAGAGCATAGTAATTTTTTACATGAGCAGAGCAATCAGTGAGCTTAAGTTTAAATATGAATGGAATTCCAGTATGTTCCCATACCTAAGTATAGTTTTTATCCCACGGATATTGATGCATTTCACGATGAGTGATGTTACTTGCTAAAATCCAAGGATTATCTTTTTCAAGTAAAAAATGTGGTGAATTATTTTCTTTCTTTTAGGAAAAGCAGATACTAAGATATGATCAGATAAAGGTTTGTTCATCATTATTTTCCTTATCTGCATCTAAAATTATGTGCTGTGGAATATACATACATACATTCACACCCTTCCAGGTCATGCTGGTGAGAGATCACGTATAAAGCATTTGAGAAATCTAGTAATACTGGGGTTTTATTGTGTTGTATCAGATTTTCAGAGGCCAGCATCCAGCAGCTCTTCAAATTTTGGCTTATAAAGGCACAATTAATCTTTGGGCTGCAATTCAGGAATAGCAATGTAATCTTTCTTATACTATGTGTACCACTTATTACATCTAGACCTTTATACCCAGAGGAATAACGGATGAATTCATTGATTATATCTTTTTAAGCCTAAAAAGAGCTACAATTTGTCAGGAAAGAATAGCTGGAAGCAACAGATAGTGACCTAAATAGTAGAATTCCAAAGATAAAATAGAAGAAAATGAACACAAATGCTTCATTGTTTGAGAGCTGTATTGTCTGCAACACACTCCAGTGAATCCAGTGTTTGTGGAAGAGGCCAAGGCAGATAGAATCTGTGGAGCTAAAAATGACAGCCTGAGTAAGTAGCCATCAGAGATGAAGCCAGGGAGACTCTGGCAATTGTGCTGTAAATCATAACTGCAATATTTGTTCAAAGCTCCAGTTACTATGCACACCGGCGGTTTTGCCAGAGCAGTCAGAAAAGTCCTGCCTCATAAAACACTTAAAGATATCGAATGTACTGTTCTTGTGGACCTAAATATAAATTTCTGACTGTTGTCTGGGTGTAATGTCAGTGTGGTAGCTGGCAAACCATTAAGGGCCCGATTCTACTTCGCAGCAATTCTCTTAAAGCACTGGAGGTAATGGAGTGACTCAGGCGAAAGAAAAATCTAGCCCATGCATTTCATTATTGTAAGTAGTTGTTGGTTTTAGCACATAAATCTAGTAAAAGAGCATTGCATTTATCGTAAATTGTTATTGTTTATGCACATTTTCAAAGTTTTTGAGGAAAAGGTTGCATTTATGCATACCTTTTAAAAGCCGCAGTTAACAGCTTTCACCTCAAACACTGTAGTTAACAGAGGCGAGGAGAGGACTACAGGATTTATAGATTTCTTTTTTAATGAGGCTGTCTGCCCTTTGCAGCTTGTCCTTGCTAAAGGAAAAACTTGATTCAGGTTTTAACCCTGGAAAATGAGGACCCATGTAGACATGGGAAGGAAGCTTTGCACTCGTTGCCATGCTCTCCGTGAACAGATGTCCAAATAAAATATTATATACTGAGCACAGCAGTTTAGGTCTGGGGTGTGATTTTTTCGAGGGAGCTGAGCAGGGTGGGATTTCTTACATGCCTAAAGCTGAGCATATGTTGGGCATGTTTTGCAGAATCATGGCTGTAGGGCCAAGTGTCTAAGGAGGCTATTTAAGCACCCGGGGAAGTTACTACTGGGGAATCACACTGGTGACTCTCGGTGTCAAAAAGAGCTTGATGAATAGTTGTTTTTAAATATCCCATTGGATACTCAGCTGAACCTGTGGGTTTTAAGAGACCTGCAGAAAGCTCAACCTCAATGACAAACAAAAAAAACCTGACATAAAGAAAGGAAGAAAAATGTGTTCTCTGAGGCTTCTGTAACACTTCGGAAACATTCGAGTAGGTGAAGTACTTCCTTCAGCAATAATGACTTGGAAGGGAGGTTGGTTTGCTGGGGGTTTTGGGGTTGTTTGTTTCTTTCTTTAATTACCTCTCATATTCTCCAGAAAACAAGCAACCAACCAACATATATGCTTGGAAATAGGACAAATTTGAATTCCTGTATTCCTGGTTGCTTCTTATAGGACGCACTCTACCTGGGTAAGGCCAGATGTTTCTGTAAACCCCAATGCTTGTAAATGAAGATGACATTAACCCAAATAACTATTTTGTTATTGAACTTAAACAGGTGCTAGTGATGAATAAATGAAACCAAATTTTACAGAAGGACTATGTTTTCTGTATCACTTGCTCAGTTTTCAGCATACTGACTTGTGTGATTTCAATGCAAGCCACTCATCAGAAGTGGCAATCAAGTCAGCAAAGCCCTCAATTTCCAACATACAACATCAGAGGAACCCAGAAGCTTTTCCGTTTGTTTTTAATGCCAGGTTTCCAACCAGTACTAAGAAAGAAAAAGAAAGCTATGCTTGTTTATGGGCTGAGGGCAAGGTCTCACAGACTCAATTTTTCTACAATTTTCTCCCAGGTCACAAAGGCTGACCTAGGCCCTTCATACAATACAGCCATCCAAATCTCATATGGGCTTTTTGGAGACTCCTTGGTGCTTTTTTCCTCTCCATCCCTTGGTAACTGCAATCCCTCAATGACTGATGATGTGGGTCGTTAAGTGTGCTCTGTAGATCTAACTAGGAATCATGGCCTATTAAAGCTTCCACAACAACCAGACTCCTACTCTTTTATGGGAGACTGGAGCTATCTGCTAAGTTTCAAATTTACATTTACTTTTAGTTTGATCTTTAACTCTGGTATCTTCTACAGTGTAAGTCATCCACGACTGACATTTCAGGATCCCAAGTTTGATGTGTTAAAGCTGTACAATCTATAATCTCTGGATGGTATTGGGGGGGAAGGGGGGGGGATACTTGGACTGCTGCTAACAGATATGTGCAGGGCGAATGAGAACAGCAAGTTCATATACGCTGTACAGCAATCTATGCATGTGAAATTTCTGAAAGGCTCCTCATCACCGATAAAAAATTTCTATAGATCAAAAAAGTCTGAATACACTTCACTGGAGTGTCAAATCTTGACAACAGAACACATTAAAAAGAGTCTGGCCAAGTGACAGCTTTCTAATAGATAACCATAGAGATATGAAGACAAGTTGGAGGACAGCCTGTAGGAAGAGTTATGGAGGTGAATGGAAAGAAATTTGAAGGTGGTTTGAGATAATGTCAATTGGTGTAGACCAGATAAAGAGAGACCCTTTTTCATGTTCTTGAGTAAGTTTGAGGCACCAACAAAACTACATAAAACACCTGTTAGTTATAAAAATGTCAAATAAGCACGCATTTGGGAAATGGAGAGATTTAAACATTCATGAAAGGGTGAGAGACATTCTTGGAAGACACATCGGATATCTTTGTCATCTCAGCAATTTTCCTGTCTGTGTTCCAGAAAGAACACAAGTAATCTTGTGAGCACTGAAAGGCATCAAGCCTGATTTCCTACAGATTAACTAATGGACTTTCAGAAAGATGCAAGCTCCAACTGAAGCGTTTGTGGTTGAGTCCCCTAGAATGAGAACCCAGTGTGGATTCTCTAGGGACTAATAAGAACAAATGCACACCTGAGCTTTTCTGCAGATACAGGGATTTTTTTGAGACTTTCTCTTCCATTATCCCACCCAGTTTCATCAAGCTCTTGAAAAATGCCATTCTTTTTAGACTCTCCAAAGAACTGACCTTTCTCTCCCCCAGTATACACAGTGAAATTTCCCCATCCTTTCCCTTTATTGGTGGTGCTGTTCCCATAATGGCTTGAGCACATACAAGGAAAGATTACTTCCACCCTCCAAACTTGCCTAATTTTTGTTATTCACAGGAAGTCAGGTGGTTGATTGATTAATTAATAAGTAATTTGATGTTATTTCTGACCTAGGAATGAGAAGATGGGAGAGGGCCTACGACTTTCATTCCTTGATGAGTCTTGTGTGGAACCGTGTGCTTTTCCTCATGTCATGGTCGATCAGCTACCTTAATGCTGATAGAAGCCACTGCCAGTTTGCTTGCTTGTAACAGCTGAAACCATTGGACCTGCCCTGTTATATGTATGTATGAATATTTTAATTAATTTTCTATACAAGAACATTCATCAGCTAAAATCAAGAAGTAAATCTATTTTTAACTGAAGTTAGCTTCAGTATTTACTGCAACTTAATGACAACTTGAGACAAGAATTTAATTACATGGAGTCAGCATACCATATATATTGTAAGGATGTACCACGGGACTTATTCTGAAGTGTAATTTAGAGTGTAACTTTTAGACTGCTCCTCACTATGAACTTAAATCTAAATATTTCCACTGATGGAGCACATTCTTCAAAACTGATTACAAAAGTAGCCACAGGACTAATGGAGGCTTACTATAATTTTATGTGTTATGGTATAAATGACTTGCAAGAACACTCTTGGGAAGTTATACTGTAATTTAATATCTTTAAAGCTAAAAAGTGCTAAGGAAATATTTTTGCATGGGGGCCTACATTTTCCTCTTAGTGCTACCTAGAAATGCATCTTTTTGTAGGACAGTTTTGTATCCCTTGCAATTCACATATTACGTCTTGACAATATACTGACATGTTGTACTGTGCTTCACAGAAACGGCCTCCCTGAGGAGTGGAACACAGACAAGGACTCGGGAGACCAAGCTGTTCCTTCCCCCTGCTCCCTGCTGGCTTTGCACATGCTGACCTCTAGGAGGTTTACACAAAGACCAGTAATGGCTTCCTTGTTCACCCTTACCCTGCCTTTTGCCTGGCATCACTCACGATGTTGTGGAGAGCAGGAGGTGTTCTCAAATGTCTGTATTTTAGGGCCTTGCCATGAAAATGCCACACCACCTTTGCAGCTGAGTCCCACCACAGGGAGATGTGAGTTACCGCAGTGAATACGCAGAAACTATCTATGTTCAACAGTCTAGCCATACAACTGAATTCTTATTTACACTGACCTTACTTTACTGCAGTAAGAACTGTTGCTCTGCGACAGTACCCTAGGCCTTGCTTACGTAAGGCTGCTGTTCACTGTTTAACAAACCTATTTCAATAAGAGAATGGCTAACATCAATCCCTGAACTAAACAATTTCTAGAAGAAGAAATAGGTAAGTCAGCACAACGCTTTTGGGTAGATGAGGTTTATTCTGGGACGTAACTGCTTAAAGATGCAGACACAAATGAAATGGGCTACATCAAAACACAAAGGGGTCTTCTTCACTACTTAATTATCTGGTGTAGTGACATTGTAGCGGATGTTATTTGTAGATCTTCATTTAGGTAAAAATAGCTATATGGCAGATTGCTATGGCAGCATTCTATTATGAGGTTATGCCAGGCACATGGTCAAGGATGTTTCTACTTTATAGACAGGCATGCTATCTCCTAAGTGCTCCAAAGGCATCTAAAGTAAGATTTACATCCACACCGTGCCCTAACAGTTCCACAGGAACTCTAACTAGCCATGAGTAAGTAAGGCCCATAACCAAAAATGCTGAGCAGCACCTCAGCTGGTGTAAATTGTCATAGTTCCTCTGTGGAGCTGGAGACACTTTACACAACTGGAGGATTTGTTCCTCTGAATGTGCAGAAAGTCGACCTCCAATACATAAAATGTCCTTGCACACAGGAACGCACAGACTTTCTTTTGAGCTCCATGGGAAACTTGTGATTTCTCACTCCAGCCCCACAGGTGTGCTTCGCCTTTTATTGGTCAAGGTCGGTATTTGCAATAGTCCACTGGGTAACAGAGATGCCTTTTAAAGTTCCTTTCTAAGGTATATTCTAAACGTGTCTGGAAAAATTTACCTGCAGCTGGAATTGCACTGGGCAATCCGCACAGGTTTTCATTGCTCTTAGATGAATGCAGTACTATATGGCATCCACTGCTATGCTGAAGGGAGCATGAGGTTTAATTAGTCCCGATCGGCTCAGAGGCCAGGAATTTTCAGTAATTAACTTGCACCTAAACGTAATCATGCAGATGTATCCAAACCAATGTTGTGATGGAGACGGGCAGGACTAGGGCCTGGCTGTCAAGTGACCGCCAGCTGGGCCATTTGTCATCACACAGAGAGCTGTGAGAAAAGAGAAGACGAAAGACTTTGTGCCACAGAGCCACAGCGGAGGGACAGTGGTCACCTTTGGATTTCCTGGACTGAAGAGAAGCTTTGAACACAGTCAGAGGTCGAAGAAATCAGAACTGCAAGGTTTCCAGAGGAAAACCTTTCCTACACCAGCTAAAATGAATCTGCACAGTGAATGGGTTACAGGACAAGAAAGGTGCAACGGGGGGATACGCAGTGACCCCAGCCATTTAATATGATGTGGTTTCCTGTAGTGGGAGTGTTTTGGACACAGTGAAGTTTGTGGTAGTGGATACATGAAAGCAGGCTGAAGATCTAAATCTGGAGCTTTTCATTCATTTCTCTGTAGCTGTCACTACTTAAGACCTTCAGCTCTAGACCTTGTTCTATCACAAAAAGAGAGTCAGTCACAGAACACAGGATATAGTGGTCTGACCTGAAGTCGAAGGGCAGCCTTGTATGAGCTGAAAATGACTCCCTCCTCTCCAGGAAGAGTCAAGGCTTGCACAGCCCCCATATCATGATACCAAAGAATGAAACTTTTTTGTAGCGCTTTGTAGCATTATATACTCTCCCAGTATCAGAGGGAATATTTCTAATAATCTTGCTTAATGGTCCACACACAGAAGTATTTTGTTATTTCTGTCCAGGGAGTTTAGTCAACACACTCCTCCAGCACTCCTTTTAGGTTGGCTGAGGGAACTCTGCAGGGTAAAATACAAACCTATGCAAAAAATTCACCCTGCTCTATTAAGCTCACTGAGATAACCTTGTTCTAACTCCTACACAGCCTCAGCCGTAACAACTCAACCAGTAAAACTTGCAGTTCTGTGTAGCAATGCTTGCCGAGTCACAAGTAATTGTGTGTACCAAGAACTCCCCACCTGACTTTTAATGCAAATCTTTCAAAACAGCAGCCAGCAGAGCTTGCAACTCCTGCTTTCAGCTTTGCTCCAGGCTTCAAGGTATTCACTGTTTTCTTATGTTTCCCCCCCAAGTGCAATCATTCCATTTCTCAGTATAGCGATTATTCTTAAGAACAATGTATTGTGGCAGGATGAGCACCATCCATGCACTACAAACACAAGTACCTATCACCACTCTACTGGTCCCACAGGCTCCAGGTAACACGATGGACGTTAACTGACTTCACCAGGGCTGTGACTGGGCATGAGAAAAGAGACTGCATTAACGGACCTCTGGCCAGTATCACAGGTTTTGTTGCCTGCATGACTGAGAGAAAAGGACAGTTCAGAGTTTAGAGATGAGTTTTTAATGGAAGACTTCAGGAAGCAAAAGAATATATTGCTCATGGGTGACAAAAAATGCTTCCTTGTCTATGAAGCAGCACAGCAAAAAGTGCAAAGAGAGGAAAAAGGCACAGAAGAAACCTATAAGAAAGAAGAATGGGAAAAGCAGCTGGCTAAATTGAGTGAAGATAAATGGCAGCAGAACTTCACGTAATAGATTTCACAGGGTTTTTAATAGCTTGAATTTCTTACAGCAGGCAGTCGAAAATCAAGGAAGCTGCTGGCTGGTGGAGACAAGGTGGCACTGGCAAGCAGCGTTCTAGATGGAAGGGAGGAAGTGGGGAGATTTTGCAGACATCATCTGTCAAGAATAGAGATGATCATAACAGTTTGTGTGAAAAAAAAAGATCATGATAGCCACCATGTTAGGAAGACAGGCAGGAGAAAGAGGCAACAAAATGGGAGAAATGATGGTCTAGGAGACAGTCCAGGAGACAAGAAGTGTAACAGAACTGACAGAGGAAAATAGGATCAGAAAATCAGTAAGAAGTGGTAAATACCTAACCTTAAGAAGTCAAGCCAATACTGAAGTGCCAGCTGGACGTGAAGAAGCAGATGGTTATGAAACTCCAGGCAAGAGCATTACTGGTAGAGAAAGCGAGTGAGTGACTGGCAGAGAAGGGCAAGTGCATCCAGGATTCTCTCATGGCTACCTCTGTGAGGCAATGGGGAGACCAAGTAGCAAAGGAAGGCACAAAAAATACAGGCAATGTCATGGAGGGTGCATCTCCAAGCAAATTGGGATTGAGAAAAAGAGAGAATTACAGAAGCAAAGTCTTGGGAGGGATCTTGGTCAGGGAAGAGAACGACAAAGATTGTCCTCAGATCAAGCCATGTACAGGAACCGAAGAAGCTACAGCTTCAGAAGCTACTTAGAAGTGGGAAGAAGCAGCAGCTTCTGAGAATGTGGAGACGAGAGACATGAAGAAATCAGTGGGTTTTTTCAAGGGAGACTGAATTAAAGGAATTTCATTCTTTCAAGAGCAAGAGCATGCTTGAAGGCAGAGGGTCTAGAAAACAGTGCCTAAAAATACACAAGCACAGAAGAATGGAGAGATAACAGAAGACAGACAACTTGCGCTTGAAAGACATGACAGAGTATAAAAAGAAGGGAGCTAAGATGTGGGGAGGACAATACAAGAGGAAGCTGGGATCTTACCTGGGCTTATTCACTCTGTCCCTTAAAAAGACAACTAGATCCTGTCAGGAGAAGGACGAAGGTTAGCAGAAAAACACCATTTTATTAGTCATGAGCAAACACAGAGGGTTTGAAGCTCCCAGCCCAGTATGAACATCTGTATGAGAGGCAGTTCAGACTCTGGAAGAAGTCCTGACCCTATTAAAGTCAATGACAAAACTCCTGTTGCCTTCAACAGAGCCAAAATTTCACCTTGTGTCTATGGCCATTCCACTGAGACTTCCAACATGAATGCCAATTAGTGCCAGTTTCAAAGGTGACATTTGTGACACGGATACGCGCTCCACTGGGAGATGAGCTAAGATTATCAAATTGAGTTTGCATAGACCAGTAAAGGCAAGTGTGACATTCCCTGTCCTAACAATCAACTGAGGCAAACAGATACACACACAGAGAAATAGCTGGGAATTTGAATGCTTCCAAAGCCTGCTAAAAATGGCATCGTTATTGATTTAAAGAAAAATAAATAAATAAATGGGATTAGTAATTCAGCCGGTGTGTGGCAGGTCTAAATGAATCAATTAGCATGTTAAAAGACATGCATAAAATAATGCTTAATTAAAAACAAAATTTGGGGGGGGGGGAAGGAACTTTAAAGGGTAAATTGTCTCATATTTTAAATTGAATGAATACTACCTGAGGATAGCAGATTACTATTTAGAGGCTTTCAGGTGCCAAATTTATGTGACTGCCACTGTTAGCACATTCAGATTAATAGTTCAACAGTAATTGGGATATTAAACAGAATGTGTAATTTTGAATATTTTACCTAATACTGGGTTGATCTAAGATGTAAGCAGACTGGGTACCGCAGTACCCAAAACAGTTACCTTTTTTGCTTAATTTGCATGTTGATGTTCTACATGCCTAGATCAAAACCCATGCAGTCACTCTATGATTTAATACACAGTATCAATTCAATCTCCAGATAACAGTGAACACCTCCCATTTTATAAGCCTTTGCAATACACCAGTTTTACAAGTGTCTCTATGGTGAATCACTCCTGTGGTTTCCAATACTACTATCCCATTAATGAGGGTAAATCTGGGCTAATCCAGTGCAGATTGTCTCACTGTTGTGTCCTGCCTGAGTTTTATGTAGATCAGAATCTCTCCTAATGTGACTGTTTCCAATTCTCCATTCTGTTCTATTATTTTCATATAAACATTTAATCTACACTGTTTAGACCAATATAATAATGGCTTAAAGGTGTAAGGGAAAACCACAATCACATACAAACTACAATAATAAATGCTGGGTAGCAGGTAAGACACATTTCAACCCCTAAGAGACTGCCACTTAAAGGCAAATCTGTATCTCATTCTAAGCCAGGTTCTGAATAAATATATGATCCTATCAGGAAGTCACCACATTGCTTATGAAATGCGCATGTACAGATGCAGCCATCATCTCTGAGCAGCTGACAGTGTGCTCAGAGGAGACCAAGGCTGGTATATAGCAGGAGGGTTGCAAATCCATCCTGAAAGAGCACTGGCAGCTCTGCATGTGGAAGCTTGCACATCACCTGCTCACACTGTACTTAGCCCTAGGAAATGCACTAAATCTTTTCACGTTATACATGCCAAATTCATCAACAGCTTTAAGAGAGAAAGAAAGACATAGATCATTTTTTAACTGTTCCCATTACGTATGAGAAAAGAAAAATTAGAATGTGTAGCACAGCGTAAACTCACTGTTCTTCTGCCACTGTGTGGAACAAGGCTTGCTCAACACCTCAGTACCTTTAAATGTGTGCCTATTAGATGAGCAATCCCAGATGAAATGAAATGAGCAATCAGGCTTTCTCAACCTGCATCGCACTGCCCAGATGGGCTCTGCTTTTGCTCAGCATGTAGCTCTCCCCTGATTTCAACTGCAGTCTTGTGCACACATCACAGGTAGAATACACTTGATTGGTTTGATATCATAGCGGTGTCAAAGGGCACAATCCCAACATGCTGAACATGAGCTACCCAAGTGCCTGACGTTAGGCTCTGAGTGACCGCACCAGTGTTGGAGAAAGAAAGCTGAGAAACAATAGTTTTTCATCCTAAAGCTGCAGACTAGGCAGGTTTTTATTATGGAGACACCAACTCATCCATTCCAGAAGAGGGGTGGAGGGGGGTGCTATGTGTATATGTGTTGAGTAAGGAGGAGATAGGTTTAATTAATCTTAAATGCCTTTGCAATTCAAGAATTGTAACCCTGGATCAGTTCCTGTACTAACATGATTAGCAAATATTGACTTTTGAGTACAATAATAATGTGTCATCTGAAACCCTTGATAAGTAACTTAAGTACTTCCTTAGCTTGCATCTTATTAAATTAGATGAGGTACGGTTGAGACACATTACACAAAGACATTGAAAT